ACTGCCTCAATCGCTCGCATCTGTTCAACTCTGCCGGGAAATTCTCTATTAGTTTAAGGTCTGGGCTTTGTGATGCTCCCAAACATCATTTTTATTATCCCTGAGCCAAAATGCAACTATTTTAGATCCATGCTCAGAGTCATAGCTTATTTGGAAGATTCATTTGCCCCCAAGCTTTAACTTCCTGGCTGATTATTTAAGATGTTTATTTTTCCACATAATGTTATTTCCTCGTGATGCAGTCTGTTTTGTAAAATTGCACCAAGTATCTTTACTTCACCATTGGGGAATATTTTTTAATTAAGTTTTTCCCTTATTGATCTGATCTATATACATTCAAATATATCTGGAAATTGGAGTCCTGAGTCTTTATTTTTTATTAAATATTTGCCCAAAATTTCCCAAAGTTTCCAAGTTTAATTGTTAAATGTAAAAATAAATAAAAGTTTCTTTTGTACAGGAACTTTTGTTCGCTTCCAGTAACCAAAATATGTCAATCTCTAATCTAATAAACCACAACATCATCTTCCATCAGCAGCAGTGTAAAGTTCAGATGCACATTCTGGGATAGTGTGAGTTTTCTATAGTGATAAAGAAAATAATCACACCGCAGACAAATGTGTTTCAATGTGTGAGTCAGTGCAATATTAGCCCTCAGATCAGTAAACAAACCCAGCATCTGGAGCTGATCTGTGCGTCTCACGCTGCACAGCAGCTGGTGGAACCAGTCGGAGTAACAGAGAGGAGGGACTGGGACTTTGTGGCCCTTTTTCCAACACTAACTGGGTCAAGGTTGTCGAGTCCTTGAGCGAGGCGAACAGAAACGGTTTCGGTCATAAAAAAAAAGAAAAAAAAAAAGCTGTTTGGCGTCTGATCTGGGCGTGCTTGACTCTAATTGGTCAGAAGATAATTGATAAATGTGTTGGTAATTAACAGGGGTGCTCTGCTGTTAATAAAATCCACACGTTTTGATTCTGGTCAAGGGAGATAAAACCATTTCAAATGACTTTTGTAATATAACAGCAGAATGAAAGAGCTACATTGTTTCTATCTCACGTTTGAGATATCTGAACTGGCTCATACGACTGATATGATTAAAGAAAAAAAAACCGAGCACCAGCTCCCTGTCCTCCAAAACAAAGTGAGTTTTTTTTTTTTTTTTTTTTGCAACTGCTGGGCGATGAGGAGAGTAAAGGTGTAAATGTCATTAAAACTTGAGATCAATGAAACACAGGCAGAGGGTGTGTGGCTCACTGTAAAACTTTTAGGTACTGTCTGGATGGCAACAAAACTTAACAAGGCTCGCAGTGTGTGTGCGCGCGCACGTGTGTGTGAATGTCAAAGAGGGGAGTGAGTCTATCGACCCGGGGGTAGGCACCTAAGAGAGCAAGAGCTGATAAAAAACTAAATCAACTGCAGCATTTACTCAAGTCCCGACAAATTGTAGTTATGATTGGAAAGATGGGGGAGAGCAGTAAGACGGGGAATAAGAATGATGTGTGTTTGGGAAATGCAATTTGATGCGATTTAACAAACCAACAAGAAACATGTTATAGAAGCGTTGAGCAGAATGAAGTAAATCACTGAAAATTATGGTGGGAAAATCATTGTTTTTTTGTGGGTTTTTTTTTTTCCACAGCGCAGCGCAATCAAACATAATCAACACACTCATCCACTGATTTTGACTCTTTATGGAGGTACTGATTGCTTTAATCAACTGTCAAAGTTGATTAAACTTCAGTTAAAATAAACACGTATAGTGATGATAAAAAGAAACGACATCCCCTTTGGAGATTTACGTGTCAAAACATCCAAAAAAAACAATCCGATTTTTACTAGCTGTACTAGACTCAGTGAGTACAACGAAAACACAAACGACTGCTGTTTTTTTGTCGTTGTTAGCCAATGAAGATGCCAGTGTGTGAAAACGAAGTACACCCTATGATGTAGCAGTAATAGCTTATTCTGGTGGACTTGATCTCTTAACAATAGTGGTAGAAAATGGCGTCACTCTTTACTGTTTTAATACAGAAAGATTTAATCTAAATCCAGACCGATTGATGGGTTTTGATGTTCATCTTCATCTGTCTACAGCAGTGGTTCTTAACCTGGGTTCGGTCTCAGGGGTTCGGAGGAGCCTCTGCCGCGGAGGTAAAGACACACTTGTGTAAAGTCGTGATGACGCCCCGCTTTGCCATCACTTACTCCAGAGGATCACGTTACATTGCTTAGCCAATCAGTGCTGCGGAGGAGCACTGATTGAAGGAGCTTCACTCTCAGCATGGATTTGAACTTGTGTTTTTAATTACTTCAGCAAAACTCACAGTTTTTACCATATTCTGTAGCTTTCGGTGTACTTCTAAATCTGCTCCTTAGTCGCATCTTTTTGGTGTTGCTACTGCCTCTAGTGGCGTGGGAGTGCTAACACAACTAATATAATTACATTACTAAATCAGAATACCGCAAAGTCTTTATTATTTATTATACATTTTTCATTCTCTTAAGAATGTAGAGCTAATTAAATGATCTAAACAAGACTTTAAAGTGGTTCCAGTTTCTCTCGATGGCCAACCTGTTGAAACTGTGGCAAATTTGGGTTGTTCCTGGACAGTCAGCTCAACTTTGCTGAAAACACTGACTACATTTTGAAGAACTGTTCTCAGAGACTCTACCTTTTAAGAAGACTTGGTGATCATGTCTTGAATTTGGGCGGGGGGAATCATATTTTATTTATCACTACAGAAGAGTTCAGTGAATGCGCATATGAAACTGGTGGGTTCGGTACCTCAAAAAAGGTTAAGAACCACTGCTCTACAGCATAAAACGTGGTTACAGAAAAATCCTTATTTCCATGACTCTCCTCAATCTGAAAACATTTCTACAAATCATGTTTTATGTGGTTATAATTCATCCATTTCGTGTGAAGAATTCAGCAGACAGTTCTGTAAATCAAATCAATCTTTGTCTCCTGCTTTGGAATAATTTACTTCATTGCTTAAAGTACCTGCTTAGTTCTGATGTCTAACGTTCCTAAATATCTCCAAGGTACTCCCATAAATCTAACATGCATTGATTTATTAAGTGATGCTGATGTCTGTGTAGATAATTTTCTAAAAATCTTGATTCAGTAGGGAGGCAATGAAAAATCCTCTTGTGAATTTGCAGACCAGGAGGTCAAAAACTAAACAAAATGGATATTTGTCTGTTTACTGAATCGCTATGTTTAAGAGAGAGCATCGAGCAGCACTCTTTGGTGCTATTTTCAGAATAAGCGAGGTGTTTAAACACAAATGATCTATGTGGGGAAAAAAAACAACAACATTTCATTTGGAAACAACTCTGCTGTTTATCCTGGCCCAGATAATTCGAAGGCTGGCTCTATTGTCGGAAATTTAAAGTGCTGATCTACATTTTCTAGAAAAAAAAACACACATAAGCTGACTTTACCACACTAATTGCCAATATAAATGCTAAAGAATATGTCAACTACATGATCATTTAATTTTTTTGTTTTTAAATTGATCATAAATCCCTGTTTTACAGTGACTAAACTCTCACACAGTGTGACGTCACCTCTAATGTCAATATAAACAATCAGTAATGGAAGGCTGACGAGACGATTGGAAAAAGATAATTTGAATGATTTCTCTATTGTTATGGTTAAAAAAGATTATTTAAATTATTAGTTTTATCACTAAAACGGATTTAAAAAAAAAAAACTAATACGCTTAAAGTTAAAGAAAGGTTTATTTGTCCTAGTCGGGCAAACCACTTTGGGATCAGTTATCATTCTAAGCCCATAGAAGGTGATTCAAGGTGTAAATTAACACATCTAACAGCTGGATGAATAGATGTGTCTAATCTTGGATAAAGAGCTAGAGATGGTTTCCAGCCAAAATCAAATGACTTTTCCCATTCAAGGACACCACTGTCATCTTTTTTTCAACACGGGAGCTTAATTATTTAGAAATGATCTTTCATGAGAGCTATCTCTGCTGCTACACCGAAGGATAAAGGCAACATTTTGATATTTACCTGAGCTGGTGCCTGCTGCTCTCACAGATACAGAAGATATTCAGCAACAATAAAACACGTGGAAAACAAGAACTCTCTAGAAAAGACAGATTTCATTCTCAAAGATCATCAGTGATCATTTTGAGCCAATTGGTTAAAAAAAAAAAAAAAAGCCTTATGGTCTGGCAATTCTGTTCCATAGCAGACAGAGTTATAATGAGCCCAATCGTATCTGTTAGCTCATAAAATGCACCTACAGAGCAGCACATCACTACATTTGCCACTACTGGTAAACATTGTAATTGTTCAAGGTGACAGAAGCAGAATATGGCATTTACTGATCTAATAAGTGGCAAATATGTGCAGAAAACCATAAGACTGAGTCCTGAATGTGTGAAATCCTGCAGAACTTCATTGCTCGGCTGTGTTTGTGTTGTCTGTGTTCAACCGTGTTTTAACCTTAGAGAATCTTAAAAATAAATTTAAAAAAAAATCTGTTTCACTTGTTTTTGCCACTGGTTGACCAGGTAATGCAAATGTGGAAAAAATAAATTACTCTCACAAAGGGCCATATTATGCATAATTTTAGCAGCGTACCAAGACCCGCTGAGTAATTTGGCGTTGGTGACAGCAGGGTTGTTCAGGTGATTGCCTACGTTTGAACAGATTGTCTCAGGAAAGTGTTTACTGCTTTCTGGATAACAGCTGCAGCGGAGAGGAGCAAGACATATGAGGGAGAGGAACAACTCTTCTTAAAGGGATCAATGCGCTGCCGGGCTTTCCCCTTTAATAGGAATTTATTGAATAGTTTGAACTCTGCTCTTTAGTCAGGATGTCTTGGATTTAACCTCAGAAATTTCTCAAATAACAATGTCGAAACTCCGCAACTCGGTGAGAGTCGTTCTTATTCCAGACATGTGCAACAGAAATACTTTGACAGGAAAGAATGAAAAAAAAAAAATAAAAAAAATAAAATGTTTGCTTACTCTGGACAGATCTCCAACCTCCAGGTAAAAACAAATGATGAAAACATTCCAGGTCATCCAGATGACGAGCCAGGCTGCATACTGCGCACACAGAGAAGGAGACACACGGAGGAGAGAGGAGTCAGGCACGGAAAAGAAGATCCGACAAGCTGTGGTTTGGTTGAATTAAAAGGAAAACATGGTCACGTCTTGCTTGCTTGTGGAGCGAGTGAGATGGAGGAGGAAGAAGAAGGAAAAAAAATAAGACAGAGGGAGGCTTTGCTTTTGATGTTATTAAAATGCAGACAAAGAAAAACAACAGCGGAGAGCGCAACCAATCTCCTGAATCAAATCCGACAGGACGAGAGAATGGATGGTGAGTTTCTGCGCGCAAAAAGAACGAGATTTATAGGAAGGAAGGAAGAAAAGAAAGGATTTATACAGCTTTCATCGTCTGAGCCATCTCGCTAAGCGTCGTCTGTAAGAGTAAAGTAGTAGATTGAGGTCCTCTGGGATAAAAAGATCCTACTGTTAAACTGTGACTTCAGCATCACTCAGAACCATAATTCTTAAAGCAGGGACCAGTATCACTGCATAACAAGCTTTTGATAAATTCATGATATAGCTGACTGCGTGTGGGCTTTTTGTTGAGTGTGCAAAACTTACTCCGGTGACATATTTGGGCCTGAACTGAATGGTGCCGAACAGGCCCAGGATTACGACGATGATGTGTAGGAAGTTGGTCAGGATGGGAGCCCATTGGTAGCCCAGGAAATCGATCACCTGGCGCTCCAACACGCTGACCTGCGAGAGGAACAGGGGAGATTGTTAAAGCAACCTGAGAGCTGTGGGTCGTCTCCACAAGAAAACTACCGGCATTAAGTGGGCGTCAGCATGAAGCGATACCATTTACGTGAAATGTGAAGGTGTGAGTCAAAGAACAGAAACTGAATCATCACTGAAGTTAAAAGGAAGTGGGGTCTCGCTCTTAGGCACAGCACTGCTCAACTGGGTTTCATCTTAAAGTTGCTGAAAGGTTATAGTTTCAAAATCTCAAATATAGTTGGTCAAAGTCTGACTAACAACACAGCAGACAGAAAAAAAAAATTAAAATACGGGGTAAATGGACGGTCAAAGTGGCAAGAACGAAGCAAAGCGTCTGAGTAGCTAGCTCCTGGGTGCTAGCTATTCAGCTCCTGGCTAGCTAGCTCCTTCTCTCTATACATAGAGGGGTTCTTCAAAAAATGTTTCCATTCTTTTGCACACCTCTTTTCAAAGTTTTCTGTCATTTTTAACCACGTTTCACTAACATAACCAACATAAAATGCAATTGTTCATAAATATCATATGTTAGGGAGGTCCTGGACATTTTTTCCCATCTTCAAATTAACATAAAACACCAAAGTGCATTTGATTTGAAATAATCCAGAATAAATTCAAAAATTGTGACCCCAAATTTTTTATTTTAATAATCAGTTTGACTGACTGAAGTCAGTCCATTTGACATCAAAATGGACTGACTAAACTCAGGAAGAGCAGCTCAAATAAACCACAAAAACTAACTGAAATGAAAAGAGTTTCATCAAAGGGTTGGCATTGCTACTTTTTACATTTCTTTTTCTGTTATGTTATTGGTGAATGAATATATATATATATATATATATATATATATATATATATATATATATATGACCGTGAATTATGTTAGTCTCATTTTCTCACATCATAAAAGTCCAAATTTGTCCGATACAAATAGAAATGGATATAGCCTTTATTGATCAACAGTTATAAACAGTGCAGCACAGAAAACTATAAAAAATAGCACACGTTTTTTTTTTCTTTTTTTTAATGAGTAATAGTGCAAATGGTGGTGAAACAGTTACCATGATTTCATTAAATTAAATTAGACATGCATAGACATCTTTTGGATGACATATTCTACGTGTCACATTTCAACCTAATTTTTTACATTGTTTAAACCAAAAGCTCTATTTAATGTAATTTTGCCCCAGGGGGTTAGTTGTAGGCCTAGTTTTGCACTAAACTTCAAATGCGTGTGAACCAGTATAATGAACTCCCTCAAGAAGACGGGAGATGTTAATCAGAATATACCTTGAATCCAAAATGCTTCATTGTAATGAAGTAAATTGTAATCAGTTGTACATACATCGCTTTCAAGCGCACAGTGTGGAGTCAGTACAGTGTTTGTATGCATGTGTGTGTGTGTTTGGGATTATTATCCTTCAGTCACTGGAGCCTCATGCTGAGATGGTTAATGAAGTCGGTGCAGCGCTGCTAAATTTATGAACTCGCAGAGACATGGAGAGGGCGTTAGTGAGGTGGCGACACAAAGAAACAAGAAAGACGCAAGCGGAGAAAATACAAAACAAACTTTAACTTAAAAAAAAAGAGAGAGAGCTAATGTTATTCTGAGTTATCTCTATTCTCTTGGCACAACTTTCTGCCCGAATGAGTCTAGAGAGCCCTAATGTGAGGCCATATGGTAGCACTGCAGCCAAATGGAAAACACAAACACACACACACACACTTTGTGTCTGAATACAGAGCGATACAAAACCAATCAAATATGAGTTTTAATTATGAGGCAGCGAATGTAAGAATTAGAAGAGGGAGAAGAAGAAGGTGGATGAATTATTCTGTTTGGTGCGGTGACATATGTGCATCCACTCCTGTGGGTGTGTGCGCGCGTGTGTGTTTTTCCATGTCATGGGAGGTCTGTTGTGCTTGCACTTGACAGCACCTGCTGTTACTGGACACACTGGGCCCAGCTGGCACCACGGAGTGCACGACGTGAGTGCGTGTGCTTGCGTGTGTGTGTGTGTGTGTGTGTGAGCAAGGAGGGAAAGAGTTAGAAAAGAGAAGACGAATGAGAGACATTGTGCCTCTTTGTGCAACTAGCCTTTATGCGCAGGCTCTCTTTCTCAGCTTCTTTGTGTGCTTGCTTCATTGTATTATGTGGAAGTGTGTCCTCCTATTGACAATTATAAAGTGCTGCAACTGTGTGCCTCTCTCGCAAAGCGTGGACACACACAGAAACGGAGGCCATTAGAAAAAAAGTCAAAGGCCCCCCCCCCCATTCCAGGGGCCCCCCCCCCCCCCCCCCCCATTTCTTTCATCACCAATAATATAAACAGTCTTCGCTCCAGCTGGGGATGCATTTACTTACTTGCTCTGCCCCGAAATAACTCTGAGCTACACAAAATGCAAGAACGGGGGGGATAAAGAAGATGTTAAGGTAATGGATCAGTCATGACAAAAACTAAATGTTCCCCGCCGCAGATTGTTTTAACTTGGGCTAATATGGGAACATATAAGAGCAATAACCCAACCATCTGTTCCTTTGAGTCGCACTCATCTTTTCACGTGAAATTCTCATTACATGGCTCAGCTGCAAAAACAACCAACATCAGCCGCCTCGGTTTGTTGTTCTTTGTTATCCAGCCTCTCAATTCTCCTGACAGACAAAAAAAAAAAAAAAAGAAAAGAAAAGAAAAGAAAGAAAGCATGCTTACAGGCCCCCTTAAGTCGGCATCCTTTGCACCTATCAAACGACTGAAAAGCTTTGAATAAAGTGTGAAATCGCCTCGGTTTCCCTGTAACATTAAATCCAAGAGGAAACAGCGGAGAGGCGAGGGAGGGATATAATGAGACGTCTCTTCGATACATTAGCAGATACGGTAGGTTTTCTGCCATACATGCGGCTGATGAAAGACTGCGCGGTGTACAGGTGGCGCTTCAAGCTGCCTCGCACGGTCCTGCGGGATCTGCTGCGACACGCTTTGAAGCTGCAGAGAGAGAGATGTTCATTTCGGTGCTGTCGCTCGGAGCAGAGCTACATTAAGCTCGTCCTGTGCTGCAACCGGAAATCCACCGGTGGACGTCGTGTGTTCATGGCAAAAAGATTTAGAAAGATGGCTGAATTTCACTGTAAATACTTTCGATGCCTTTGGGAGTTTCAATATCGTTGCTTAGCTTGAGCATGGCTGAGAAAGCAGAGAAGGACTTGCTGTGCCGCCTTCGGTCAACCTGCTAACCTTCATACTGTTTGACTGGCTTGAGTAATGCACACTTGGTTATGCAGATCATTTTTAAAAAGGACTGCCTCAAAATATTTCGAAATAAACAATGTGCTTTGGTTTATTTTCACCACGCGGCTGAAATGTAACGGCTAGCTCGGTTGTAGCTTCATTCTCCTTGCCTTGAAACACTGGTTTGTGCGCTGCATGTAGATGGGAATATTAATGCAAAGCTGCCCTGGTAATCATAACTGTTCAACAGAAACAGCTTCATCTAAAAAAAAAAATAAATAAAAAAAAAAATCTACAAACCGCACTTCAAAACGCCTGCAAGTCGGTCTGAATCTCCGTTTTGGGAGGCGGGAGGGTCAAAAAGCAGCACCACTTTGGTGCCTGCATCTAAAAATACAAATAAAAAATAAAGAAAAACCAGGCTGGGGGTTTGCATGTTATATTTAGTAAGCTAATTCGCCTTCTTGGCCACAAATAGACCACATATGTAGCTGCAGTTACAGAGAGAGCGATGCTCAAACAGCCTCTGAATAGATTAGCGTCTGATGAAGGGGGCAGCGGAGGCGGGGAGGGAAGGCGCCGCCGCTGCTTTTGGGAAAGATTTTGCTCTGTTTGATTATGAATGATAGAATGATAAGAAAGAGTTATTATTGCTCCAGACAGTTTAGTCTCTCTGTGACTATTATAAGGCCCTGCAGAGGGATGAAAGTGTCTTTTATCCTAAGTAGGAAAAGAGATGGAAATAAGACAGGGCGAGAGAAAGGCTGGGAGCTCTGATGAGAGGGCATGAGGAGATCAGGGGGTGATTAAGATGCGGCTGTCGCCAGGAAGGATGATGAGACGGAATCAGTGAGTGAATGAAATGAATCGTCACATGTTGTCCTCTGCCACAGCTCCTTCTTCACCTGGCCACTCGGGGTTTTTTTTTCTTTCTTATTCTCCACTTGTTCATTTCCTCCCGTCCTCTTTTCCAAATCATATCATCAGCCCCCACTCTCCTTACTCTGCTCTCCTACATATTTAATATGTGTTCATCTGTTACCAGATATGTTGTGTCATAAAACAGTAAATTACCTCATCTGCCTCCTCCCATTTTCCCTCCATTACTGCACAGACTCGCCCCTCCTTCGCTACCACTTCCACCGTCTCCGTTGCCAATATCCCATCTCTCCTTCTCTTCTCTGCAGTTTCTCTCCTACCTGTCTAGTAAAACTTTTGCTACAGCTATGTTTTTTTTTTTTTGTTATTGTTTTTTTTTTTAACATTTTGTGACATAAAAAAAATAAATCTGAATCCAATGTTTTTTTTTTGCTGGGATTATATGTGACAGATAAGCAAGAAGAGAGAAGAGAAAAACTGTGTAGTGGATGGAAAATGATACAAGGATAAAGCAGGGTTGGGTTATAAAAGAAAACTATATAGACCAAGCATCCAGGAAGCACTATTCAGAGTCCATCAAATGTACATAGTAAGAATATAGGACAACTGAAATCTAACCAAGATTGAAATCTGGGAATGAAAAGTCATATTTGCAGTTTTCTAACCGTGTATTGAAGCACGGTGGCAGCAGCGTCATGCTGTGGGGACGCTTTGGAAGCTACACAGGAACGCTTCCAGTTAAAGATCTGCTAAAGGCTGCAAAAGACTCAACAATAGGACAACAAAAGTATACAGTGACTTTAGAATAAAAGAGTATTTTGATTATATCATATCATATATAATTTTCCGTTGGTCTTTCAAATGGGATCCGACTGT